TCTCTTTTCTGCAGATAAGGAAATCATTTGACATGTTAAAATGAATGGTTTCTATTGTAAAAGTTAACAATTACTTCAATAAGAACAACATCAATGTAATAAGTCATAACTTGGAAATGGTGACAAATGTGAAAGAAACTATACTTTCTGCTCCGAATTACCTCTGCAAGAATCCCCTTCAATTACTATGCTACAGCTTTGAATCATTGTAGATAAAAATGATTTATGCTTGATGAGAGGTCTAAGGTATATTCAGTCTCCTCACACATTAATATTTACATCACAGCAATATGCACATTATGTCTTTAAACTAGGAACTAGATATGAATGTGTTTAAATTAAGTAATTGTCAAACAGTACTTGCTTCCTCTTATTTGCATGGATATTCACTTTATTGGAATTTCAAGTTATGTTCTGTACATTATTTTAATAATGTATTTCCTCAAGGTTGTGCATGTCATTCATAATTGAAGTATAAAATTGGTATCAAATGATTGTAAAACAAAAAAAGGACAAATGAAAATATTCCCTATCTTCTCAAAATGGGAGCAGAGTCATAATCATGAAACTTATTTAAAATTTAACTTGTTCAATTAAATTAAGCAAACACAAATACTGTTTTTAATTTTGTTCTCTTCTGGATCCCTCTTTCTGCTTATGTTTTCACTCTTCAGCATTTCATCATTTATTTAAGAGTAAAAAGTATTTTAACTAACATTATTATTAAGGAATTGTGTAGTTGGAGTATGTTTGTATCAAACAAATGTTTGTGTATAAAACAGGAGTAAATACATTATATTTCAAATTGAAATTATATATATTTAAAGCAAGGATTCTGTAGGGAGATGCCATGTCTGTTTTCCATTTCCTTTGTGTGTTCATCTGTCCTTTTTGGATTTAGATCCATCTGATCATGTCTGACTTTCATCTTTCATATCCTGGATCCTTTTCAGATTTTTCATTAAGTTTTGAAATGGAGATGCTTTATAAAACTAATGATAAAATATGAATTTGGACATTTTCAGCCTGTGAGTCTTGCACTTAAATTGAGCATATAACTGAACTACAGTAATTCTCCAATATCATACATTTTATTATTAAGAGCACTTCAGATTTCTCAGTAAAACTGAAAAGGGCTTTGACAGTAGAGAAACTTAAAAAATCCATATTGTTCATTTGCAAGGACATTGTTTCAGTTTTCTTGCATCTTCTGTTGTTATGGTTGTAGTGTCATTGTTGTTCTTCTATGGACACTACAGTCCATGATGAACCTTGGCCTCTTTTATGATTGCCCTCCTTTAGTCCCATTCACTGTTCTTTCTTTCCATAATTGTCAAAAAGTATTTAAATGAGTTTAGGATTTTTATTGCATTATCATTTATCTTTATTAATGGGGTTACTTCTTCTGTCGAATATTTCCTTTCCTTCCACACTATTTTTCATTTTTTAATCGAGTCTCAGTTTTCATTAGATGTGTTATGAATTCTTTAATAGTGTCTTCATTTATAGCCTGATTTGTTTCCTGTAATTATAAGATTTTTATAACTAGAATTTGTGCATCATGATCAGATAGCCCATTTATCACTGATTCAATAGAAATATGATCTTTCCTGGAACTGTCTACAAAAAAACTGTCAATGGCAGTACTGGAGTTTTGAATTGAAGATGGCTGTCTTCTGGGTTATTGTACTGTGTAGTCTGGTAGAAGTTTACCGAAGTTTCAGAGGTCCTTACTACCTCCATCATCACAGTCTCAATTTATTGTTTGCAGTGGAAGAAACACCACATTTATGGAACCATTTTGTGTTGTTTTAAAAAGAAACACATGACATCAGTACCACAATACTTTGCTTTTATTTAAGGGTACCTTGTTTGTATATCAATCATGATATCAGCTATCTGACTTGGGTTTTTCATGGTTTCCCCACATCCCTCCAGATAAATGCTGGGACAGTACCTAAAACAAGGCCATGACCACTTCCTTCCAAATCCCTACCAACCCATCATTCCTAATCCTTTTTACAGCTTTTTTGAAACACTGTGCAATTCCTGTAATGAGCAAAGAATTATAACATTATTTCAGAAAACATATCACGTCTCATGTATAACAATAAAACTACAAATTTTATGAATTGAAATGTTTGAACAATTTTAAATTCCTATTGATGGCGGTTCTGCCAATCCTGTTAGATACTTAATAAATTGCAGTTTGGATTTAGGAAAAATAAATCCACAAATGATGCAATTGCTACAACTATTGAAAACATAATTGAAAACCTGAACAATACAACAAAATGCAGTTGTGTACTGCTAGACTTATCAAGAGCATTAAAAACAAATAACAAAGGAAATCAACACGTAGGCTTCGCAAGCAGATGCCTCCACTCACATCACAGTTTTGCATGCCTTCCAGGGTTACAAAGCTTGGGTCTTGAACAGAAATGTGTGTTACTCAGTTTTTAACGATGAAAAACGTTTATAAAATCACGCTGGTGTGTAACTTTTCAAACGCCAATAACTCAAGAGGTATGTAAGATAGAGAATATAAACCTAATATGTAAATTAAAGATTAAATAAAGGGCTTTTTCTGCATGATGTTTACTTTATTCTATAATGCATATTTTACACATTGTTTAAATAATTACCCAAAACATGTAATAACTATACCCTCGCTCCTTAACTTCAACAGCTTGCCACGTAAATAAACACGAGCTTTTCAAATCTGCAAACAGATTTCAGCTAACTCTTATGGTTTAGGAGTTTTGACCATTTATTTGGTAACAAACAACGGTTCTAGAGTGAGTGTGTTGAGTACAGGTTAAAAAGAATTGGTGATAAGCAGCATCCCTGTCTTACACCTCTACCTATCTCAACGCTGTTGGTGTCTCCTGAGTCCAGTCTCACTTTGACTTTTTGCTGCATATACAGGTTTTTGATTAGTCTTCTATCTCTCCAATCAATTCCAATTCTCTGTAGGATCCTCATTAATTTCTTCCATTTTACTCGATCGAAAGCCTTCTTCCAGTCGATGAAGC